ACATAGTGGTTAAGAGCATGAGATCTATAGTCAAACTTCTTGGCTTTAAATCCTGACTCAGCCACTTACTAGCTTTGTATCCTTTGTTAAGTGACTTACCTCTCCTTGAGTCAGTTTTTGCATCTGCAGAGTGCAGATAATAGTAGTTCCTTTGTCAGAATTGTTGTAAGAATTGAGTTAATATATGAAAAGTGTTTAAAATGGCAAATATTAGTTATTATTATTACAGTGGGTCTTGCAGCTTCTTAAACTAAGAGAAAAAAACTGATCATTTTTATATTTATAAACAAAATATACAATCTACTCTTAATGGCTTATGTCAATCCATGCATATACAATGGGGTCATGACTATATAAATTACTCACATATTTGGGAAAATAAATTTAAAACATATACAAATGCATGCACATATTCATTCATATACACAACATTTAAGAATAATACTGTGACTCAAACTTATAAATCAATATTGTTAATATTAAGCTCTGACGGGACAAAGTGACATGGGATAAAAATAAAAACCGGGTAGGTGTGGATGTGTATGTCATATAAATCAATTTGAAAGTTACATATTTTCTTATTGATAGCTTAGTATTCAAAAAATTTATCCTTGGAGGTAATTTGAACAGCACTACTATGAATTGTGAAAATACATCAAAATATAAATGGTTTTACAAACCTGGAAGCTTTTGTGCCAGATATTGAGAATGAGCTTTCTGCCTTTCATTGGTGGTATCACTTTGAAGGGGCATGCTAATTGTGGAATTGTAATCAATTCTTAGGCTTACTAAATGTGTCCTTGGACATTTGCCACGGATTTTTTGCATCATGAACATTTAGCTTCTTCAGTCTTCATGCTTCCTTACAGAAATGGCCTCGTCTCTGATTTGCAAGCTTTATATGCTTATAGCTGATATATGTTAATCAGACCAACTTGATAATTATGCCATTAATGACTCAAAAGGCCTATATATAAATGAAGACCAAATGATATGTATAGATTCAATCCAGAATCCTGTAATAAAAGGATGCAGGCTATCGGTTGGTGAAGGCATGCAACTAGTTTCAGGTCCATAGTTATTATCTGGTCCATATGCTTTCTAAGGAAGTTTTAATAAGAGGATTTATAAAAACAAGGCAAAGTAACCTAGGAGAAATAACTGACATGTACTACATCAGATACTCAATCATCTATAGAGACTAAGTTATTTTATTTAATTTGTATACATCACAATTATTTAATTTATTCCTACAATCTTGTTGACAGTATATTACATTTCAGTGCAAGTATCTGTTGCAGTTCATAAACAGAATGTGACACTGGGGGGTGTCAAATATTCAAGGCATTACTATTCACTCTCCATATACACATGAAGAGTAAAGAAAAGATCAAATCCCCTCTGATAAATCATTCAACATTCAAATATATTTACTGAGTAAAGTTTCAAGTACATATGAGCACCATCCATAATAATATATATATCATTCTTTTGGACAAAGCTATATATAATTTTCTCCTAGTCAATTGATAGCATGAGAACTGACTCATAGAAATTTCAGTTTATTTTTTATCATATTTAACCAGTGTAATGAAATAAGTACAGCAAAGTCTTCTATAAGTTAATAGGAAGATTACCTTGAGAAATTAAGCTTTCAAATTTATTTTGACATAGTTACACAGCTTCCCTCAAATAGCCAAAGCAATCCTGAAAAAGAACAAAGCTGGAGGCATCACAATTCCAGATTTCAAGTTATATTACAAAACTGTAGTGATCAAAACAGTATGGTATTGGCACAAAAATAGACACATAGATCAGTAGAACATAATAGAAAACCCAGAAGTGAACCCATAGCTATATGGTCAATTAATCTTCAACAAAGCAGGAAACAATATATAATGGGAAAAAGACAATCTCTCCTCTTGATATTTTTTATTTACTTTTATTCACTCATATATGTACTCTTATAAATCAAATACTGAATTATTTCTCTCTGCCCAATGAAAGGAAGTAATAGCCTGAAAAATAAGCTGAGACATACACCCAAGTTTAGGTAGGTACTTTGTAACTCTGAATTATATTGCTGGTTATTTTATAGCATGGAACAGAGAAGTGTTCTCTGTTATAATGTTCCAATGGATGGAAATGGGAAATCTAAATAATAAACTGACAAAAGTTGAGCTATTCCAGGTGGCTTTACTTTAAAATTTTTTTAATTCAATGAGAAACTCTACTAATTTATGAGTAATCAAAGGGTAAAACCAGTCTAAATATGTAGCAATAAAGAATTACAAAAATTTAAAATAAAAGAAATATACTTTTATGCCTTTAAAGGGTAGGTTGTAATAAGAATGAAACTAACAAGCACCAAAAAGAATCTTATTAAAACATGGGCAGAAAAAATTTTTAAATAAAAAACAGGCAGAATACCTGAATAGACATTTTATGAAAGAATACCTGCAGATTGCCAACAGACACATGAAAAGATGCTCAACACCACTAATCTTGGAAATGCAGACCAAAACCATGATGAGATATCACCTCACACAAGTCAAAATGGCTAAAATCAAGAAGACAAAAAATAGCAAGTGTTGGTGAGGATGTGGAGAAAAAGGAACTCTCATGCACTGTTGGTGGGAATGTAAATTGGTACAGCCACTGTGGCAAACAGTATGGAGGTTCCTCAAAAAACTAAAAATAGATATGCTATATGATCTAATAATTCCACTATTGGGTATTTACCCAAGGGAAATGAAAACATTAACTCAAAAAGATATATGCACCCCTATGTTTATTGCAGCATTAGTTACAATAGCCAAGAATGGAAGCAAACTAAGTGTCCATCAATAGATGAATGGATAAGGAAAATGTAGTATATATATATATATAATGTGGTATATTATTATGTATTATATATGTGTGATACATTATAAGATGAATGGATGAGGAAAATGTTATATAAATCATATATTATGATTATATATCATATTATATAATATATAAAATGGAATATTAAACAGCCTTAAAAAAGATTAGATTGTGTTATTTGAGACAACATCAATGGACCTACTTAAGCTAAGTAAAATAAGTCTGACTGAGAAAGATAAATACCTTATGATTCCACTCATGGAATCTAAAGATAAAAATTAAAAAAAGAATAAAAAAACAAAAAGCACAATCAGAGCTACAAATACAGAGAAAAAAACTGATGGTTGTCAGGGGGGAAGGATGTGGGGGGGATTGGAAAAAAATGGGTGAAGAGGAGGGGGAGATACAGGCCTCTAGTTATGAAATGATAAAGTTATGGTAATATGGCACAGAGCAAGAGGAATACGGTCAATGATACTGTAATGATGTAATGGGACAGATGGTACCTATACTTATGGTGAACATAGCATAATGTATAAACTTGTCAAATCACCAAGTTGTACAACTGAAATTAATGTAACATTGTGTGTCAACTATACTCGAATAAAAGATAAATTAAATAAAAAGAATGAAACTAACAAAGTAAATTTATCAGAGGTCATTGACAGGACTTGTTTTAATAAATAGGTAAGAATGCAAATATTATTTAATTAGCATATGAGTATAGTGAAGTGTATACCTGTATTTGACAAGCTTTCTGTTTATTTATTTATTTATTTTGAGAGAGAGTGAGAGAGAGTGAGCACGAGTAGGGGAGAGGCAGAGAGAGAGAGAATCCCAAGCAGGCTCCATGAGTCAGCACAGAACCCCATATGGGGCTTGAACTCACAAACTGTGAAATTATGATCTGAGCTAAAATCAAGAGTCAGAATTTTAACTGACTGACCACCCAGATGTCCCCGTACTTGAGAAGTTTTAAAAGCAGTTTAAATATTCCTCATGAAATGCTATTTATATTATCAAATTCTTTAGCAGATTATCTAAAGATATTATAAAGGTAAACACTCTCCTGAGTTATTTTTAAAAAATCAAAGTTGTAAGATCTGTATTAATCAGCTTATATCATTAGTTCCCAGGATATTAGCCACATTCACTTTCATAGGGAAGTTCATCAAATTTCAAATAAATTATGTTAATCTAGGACCATTTCCACTGTACCCTTACTCTTACTATGTGTAACCAAAGAAGAATGATAATTTCATAATTTAGTCTTCTTATTTTAAGTTTACGGAGCAGAAAGAGAGAGAGAGAGAGAGAGAGAGAGGGAATCCCAAGCAGACAGCACAGAGCCCAACTATGGACTCTAGATCGTGAACATTGAGATCATGACTTGAGCCAAAATCAAGGGTCAGATGCTTAACGACTGAGCCACCCAGGTGCCCCCATAATGTATTTAGTCTTCTGATGCCTTTAGTTATTCATATAAGCTCAGCTTTCTTTTATATCAGATTAAGTTAATTTTTCTCCATTATTTAATATATATTGTTTTACTTATGGATCTTCTAATTACTTCTTTCTAAATAGAGCTAAAGAAATGGCAGAAGCAGGTTACTAAAATATATATGTGAATAATTTTGGATTTTTCCCTCTTAATTATAGTTATGAAGCAGTTTACCCAAGAGATTGTACCCTCCCCAAATAGGTCACATATATTAACTATATGGATTCTTAATTGATCAAATTCCAAATGTTAAAGCAGTCACAAATCAAGAAGTACATTTTATCTCAGTTCTGTGAAGTCCATCTTCAATATTATTATAACAGATTATAAATATACTTTCAGTTATAATCTCTAACTATAGGTGTATATTTAACAGGGTATCTTTCATTAATTAAATTTTCTACTTAAGCATTTCTGTGAGGGCCTACAAAAATCTCTCCTTCCTAAGCCTTTCTAACTAAGGACGCTGAATTTAAGATGGAGTGTTGGAATAAAAACTGTAAGTGGCTCATTGATAATAAGAAAAAAGGCACAAGTAATTCTATACTGGTTGAATTATATAGTTGTCTTTAAAGGAGGTATGGTCTCTATTTTCTTTGACATTTCCTCTACCTCTTTTGTCTTTTTTCAGAATTGAATTATAATTTTCTGATATATGGAGAACACTTTGAAAGAGCAAAAATCAATGGGGAGAAGCTACTTAACATTACTCGGCAAAAACTTAATGAACTTGGCATAATACAGACTGACCACCAGGACATCATATTAAAAGCGGTTGCTAATATTAATAAAAAGGTGAGTATAGCACTGTCCTAATTTGCCTTTCTTTTTAATTAACAAAAAATGAATTAAAGAAAAGAGTGTGTTTCCATCAGATACGTGGTCTACAGTGAATTTCAGTTTTTTGCCTTTCTAGTTCAAAAGTAATTATGACTGATATGGTCTCTAATTACTCTGTGGATCCTTCATAATCCTGTATTTGAATCATGGCACTGTCTTAAGTGGTTGCTGTTTCTTGCTCCGCCGTGAGGATAATGTGTCCCATCATTCCTGGGAAAACTCAGAGATATTCTGCCTAAACTGAAGGTTACTCTGCCTTATAGAATTGAAAGTGAGAGATGGAGGTTCTAAAAAATAAACTCACAAATTTTTATGAGATAAAAGGATTGAGAGAATTGCTATATCCACTGAATCTGAAAATGAATCAAAGAATGATAAAAGAGTTATCAAGGCCAGACACAATATTCTAGACAGTTGTCTTTGCACCTAGAAATAGAGTGGTCACTTTATATAATAGCTCAGTCAAACCAAAACTCAATAATAAATACAAAGGACAAGTCTGGAACTCATTAACAAAGATGAAGTAGATTTGGATTTTTTCATTATTTCAGGACTGTGATCAAAATCCATCTACCTATTCAACAAATATTGATTGAGGACCTTCAATTACTTGAATAATTCAAGAAATATCATATGCCTAATTGTGTCTACTGAGTTTCATTTTCCATTATTTTTATTTTTTTTAACTATATTTACTTATTTTGAGAGTGAGAGAGTGCAGGAGGGGCAGAGAGAGAGGAGAGAGACAATCTCAACCAGGTTCCGCACTGTCAGTGCAGAGCCCAATGTGGGGCTGAAACTTACAAACCAAGAGATCATGACCTGAGCTGAAATAAAGAGGTGGACGCTTAAATGACTGAGCCACGCCCCTAAATTTTCATTTGACAGGCTTAAAAACTATTTCTTTCACAGTACAACCTATTTCACTTAGCATAATACCCTCTAGGTCCATCCATGTTCTTGCAAATGGCTAGATCTGGTCCTTTTTGTTGCTGTATAACATTTCATTGTATGTATATACCACTTCTTTAGTCATTCATCTATCAGTGGACACTTAGGTTGCTTCCATATCTTAGCTATTGTAAATAAAGTCATTTTCTTTAGATAAATACCAATTAGTGGAATTTTTGAATCATATGGCATTTCTATTTTTAGAAATTGGCTGTACTAATTTATATTCCCACCAACAGTTCATGAAATTTCCTTTATTTTCTATACTCTCACCAACATTTGTTATTCCTTGTGTTTTATTTTATCCATTTTGACAGGTGTGAGGTAATGTCTCATTGTGGTTTTGATTTACATTTTTGTGATGATTATTAATGTTGAGCATTTTTTCATGTATCTGTTGGCCATCAATGTATCATCTTTGGAAAAATGTCTATTTAGGTCCTCTGCCAATTTTTACAATGGAATATTTTGGATCCATAAAAAAGAATGAAATTGGGCTGCCTGGGTGGCTTAGTCGGTTGAGCATCCGACTTTGGCTCAGGTCATGATCTCACAGCTTGTGAGTTCAAGCCCCGCGTCAGGCTCTGTACTGAAAGCTCAGAGCCTGGAGCCTGCTTCGAATTCTGCATCTCCCTCTCTCTCTGCCCCTCCCCTGCTCACACTCTGTCTCTCTCTCAACAATAAAAATAAACAATATTTTTAAAAAAAGAATGAAATCTCTCCATTTGTGACAACATGGATTGACCTAGTGGGTATTGTGCTGAGCAAAATAGGTCAGACTGAGAAAGACAAATGTCATATGATTTCTATCATATGTGGAATCTAAAAAACAAAACAAATGAATAAACAAAAAAAGCAAAATTAGACCTATAAGAACAGGCAAGAAACTAATGTTTGACGGAAGGTGGGCAGGAGAATGGGCAAAATGGGTGAAGGGGAGTGGGAGTTACAGGCTTACAAATATGGAATGAATAATTCCTGGCAATCAAAGATGTAACATCAATGATATTGTAGTAGCATTGTGTGGTAACAAATGGTAGCTATACTTGTGAATATAGTATCACATATACAGATGTTGAATCACTCTATTTAGGACTGAAACTAATGTAACATTGTGTGTCAACTATAATAAATAAAAATAAAAACTATTTCTGATGGATTTAAAGTGTTCTAATATGTCCTATTGAGTTTTGAAAACTCTTATCCTTCTACTTTCTCTTTAAGGTCAATGTGTACTCCTTTTTAAAGTAGTCTTTTTGTATCTTTTCCATCATAGCCTTACAAGAGTATGATGATATGTATATTTGATTCTACTTTATATCCCATTAGGTTAGGTATTCAATTGAGACTATTAAATAGCAAACACCATGAGAATCCTTGCATACTGCATGAACTGATTTACTGTGTCATTGGAAAAGGTTTATTTTCTTTTTCTTTTTCTTTTTCTTTTTCTTTCTTTCTTTTTTTTTTTAATTTACATCCAAATTAGTTAGCATATACTGCAACAATGATTTCAGGAGTAGATTCCTTAGTGCCCCTTACCCATTTAGCCCATCCCCCCTTCCACAACCACTCCCGTATTTGTTCTCCTAATTTATGAGTCACTTATGTTTTGTCCCCCTCCCTGTTTTTGTATTATTTTTGTTTCCCTTCCCTTATGTTCATCTGTTTTGTCTCTTAAAGTCCTCATATGAGTGAAGTCATATGATTTTTATCTTTCTCTGACTGACTAATTTCACTTAGCATAATACCCTCCAGTTCCATCCACATAGTTGCAAATGGCAAGATTTCATTCTTTTTGATTGCCGAATAATACTACCATTATATCACATCTTTTTTATCCATTCATCCATTGATGGACTTTTGGGCTCTTTCCATACTTTGGCCATTGTTAATAGTTCTGATATAAACATGGGGGTGCATGTGTCCCTTCGAAACAGCACAGCTGTATACTTTGGATAAATTCCTAGTAGTGCAATTGCTGGGTCATAGGGTAGTTCTATTTTTAGTTTTATGAGGAACCTCCATACTGTTTTCCAGAGTGGCTGCACCAGGTTGTATTCCCACCAACAATGCAAAAGAGATCCTCTTTCTCTGCATCCTCGCTGACATCTGTTATCGCCTGAGTTAGTGTTAGCCATTCTGACAGGCATAAGGTGGTACCTCATTGTGGTTTTGATTTGTATTTCCCTGATGATGAGTGAAGTTGAGCATTTTTTCAAGTGTCAGTTGGCCATCTGGATGTCTTCTTTGGAGAAGTATGTATTCATGTATTTTGCCCATTTCGTCACTAGATTATTTGTTTTTTGGGTGTTGAGTTTGATAAGTTTTTCATAGATTTTGGGTACTAACCCTTTGTCTGATATGTCATTTGCAAATATATTCTTCCATTCTGAAGGTTGCCTTTTAGTTTTTCTGATTGTTTCCTTTGCTGTGCAGAAGCTTTTTATTTTGATGAGGTCCCAATAGTTCATTTTTGCTTTTGATTCCCTTGCCTCTGGAGACATGTTGAGTAAGAAGTTGCTGCAGCCAAGATCAAAGAGGTTTTTGCCTGCTTTCTCCTCGAGGATTTTGATGGCTAC